CTTAAGGGAAGGAAGGAAGGATATTGGTCCTTTATAACTGAAAAGTTCAGAGGGTAGTTCTGGCTTCAGACTTAGTTGGATTCAAGAACACAAACAATGCCTGATGATTAGTTTCTTTCCATCTCTTTTCTTTCCTCTATATTGGCTTGATCCCTCCAGGTATCCTGGCTCCCCTGGTGGGTCCCCTAGTAATTCTGGGTTCACATGGTTCTAGGGACACTTGATCTCTGAAGGCAAATCAGCAAGACAGCCCAGGGTCCTGACTCTCCCTGAGCCAATTTCAATTCCTGTAACCAGAAGGACGTGACTCCCTGACTAAACTTAGTCATTATGTACATCTCTAAGAAGGTCTGGGAGCAGAAGTGGGACACCACCAAAGAGAAACTAGGCATATGAAAAGCATAGCCCACTATGGAAGCTAACTAAAGCAGAGACAGGCTAAGTAACTTCACTGAAGTCTCAGAGCTAGGAGGTGCTAAAAACCACCTCCAATAGCTTGACCTCACACAGTTTGACTTTGGATAATTTTAGTGCGGTTAACTAATTTTAATGCGCCAGTTTTACTGGGCCATGGAGTGTCTAGATACTTGCTTAAACATTCTGGGTGTGTCTATGAGGGTGTTTTCAGATGAGCCTTACGTTTGAATTGGTAGACTGAGTAAAGCAGATTTCTCTTTTCAATATGGATAGGCTTATCTAACTATTAAAGACCCGAGTAGATCAAATGGGAATTTACTCTTTGCCTGGGAAATTTACTCTCTGTCTGAGTGGGGACATCTTTTATCTTTAGATTTTAACTGAAACTTACACCATTGGCTCTTGTGGTGCTTGGGCCTTCAAACTATTGATTTTGGAGCTTCTCAAGCCCCTTAATTAAAATTAAAAATAAATTTTTTTAGCCTTCATCAAGCCACCCATGCCATACCTTATCTCATTCTTTCCCCATTCCCTCTGCCCTTTCCTCTGTTCCCTCTGGTAACAATTACCTTCTTTTTTTTTGCATATATATATTATTTTTATTAATATTTTATTTTATATAATTCTTACATCATTTTTCATTTTTGCACAATGTATGTGTTTTCATTTTTGTTATATTCCCCATACAATTGCACCCCCCCTTATTCTGACCCTAGTCCTTCCTCTCCCTGCCCCCCCCGCCCGCCCTGTAGTGTGTCTCTGGTTTATAGTTGCTTGTTAATTTTGATTTTGATTTTCACTTTGTATTAATTAGTCTTTTTCCTGGTCCCACAATTACTTTCTTTTTTGCTGAGTTCAAATTTTTACTCCTATTGTTAGCATGTAATTTTTTCTTTGGATATGCATATAACTCAAATGAGTGGACCCATCCAAAATCTGTCTTTTACTTTTTGACTGATTTCACTCAACATAATCACCTCAAGGTCCATCTATTTTGTGCCAAAGGCCACCACTTTTGGTGGCATCTTTCTTCACAGCTGTGTGATATCCGATTCAATATGTGCTCCACAATTTCTCTGTCCATTCATCTGTTGAAGGGCACCTAGGTTGGATCCATGATTTGGCAATCTTAAACAGTGCTTCTATGTGCATAGGTGTAGACAGATCTTTTCATGTTATTTGTATAGATACTTAATAGAGGTATTGCTAAGCAGATGGAATTTCCATTTTTATTTTCTTGAGACATCACACTTTTCCGTGTTGGCTATACCAGCTTGAGTTCCCACCAAGAGTGGATGAGCATTCTTTTTTCACTACAATCTCGCCAACATTTGTTAGTGAGGGTGATGTGGTGTATATGTGTACTTACACATCCTTTAATTTGCATTTCTCCTATAATAAGTGATGCTGAACATTTTTTCATATGTCTATAACCCACCCAGATGTCTTCTTTAGAGAAATGTCCAATGAGTTCATTTGCCCATTTCTTAATTGATTTATTTGTTTCTTTGTTGTTGAATTGTGTAAGTACTTTGTAAATTTTGGATATTAACTGCTTATTAGATGTATGGTATGTATTTGTTCCTAGTCTATAGGCTGCCTTTTTGTTTTTGTGATGGTTTCTTTTGAGATACAAAAGCTTTTAAGTTTGATATAGTACCACTTGTTTATTTTTATTTTATTTACCTTGCTGCTGGGGTTGTATTCCCAAGTGCATCTTTGTGGCAGATGTCCTGTAGTGTGTTCCCTGTATTTTCTTTCAAGCATTTTATGGCTTTGGTTCTTATGTCTCAGCCTCCATAATTACATGGGCTTATTCTTTATAATAAATTTCTTTTTCTGTATATATATGCAACTTCATATATATAAATATACTTGTCTTTTATATAAAATATAACAATGTATATGTTATAAGTTATGCATATATATATACACACACACATCCTTTATATAAAGTATAACCATATGTTACAATATATTCATTATAGCCTATCCTTCAGTAAAGAATCTTAATGCAATTGCAATTAGCTTGTTTTTTGTTGTTAAAGATTTATTTTTATAGAAGAGCTGGGGTACAGGCCAGAGGCGCAGGAGGGTGAATGGATTCACCAGAAACAGAGCTGGGAGCAGAACAGACAGATGACCAAAATACACTGCTGAAGGGAGCAGCTGGCATGACAGGAGAGGTCTGCTGCATGATGTGGGATTCTCGCAGGCTTGCGGGGATCGAACCAGCGCTGAGGCTGCGGACAGCTTCACAGCGCTGAAGCTAAACCCGCTCAGCCACCTGGGGAGGCCACAATTAGCTTATTTTGTAACACAATACTACAAAGCTACATGTGTGCTATATGCATAGATATGGACGGTGTCCGTGACATATTTCTAAGTTAAAAAAAAAATAAAAGGAGCTACAGCATACTGATCCAATTTATATAACCATGTATAAATGAAAAGACTAGAGGATTGAGTGGTATTAGGGAGGATTTCTCATTATTTGAATTTTTTACCCCACAAAGGTCAAGTTTTTCTGGGAAAAACAATATTTCTATTCTTGAAAAGAAATTTAAAAGTCAGTAAAATCAAACTTCACACCAAGATGGGTGTGAGCAGCAGGGAAATCAGCAATTGCTTTATGAGCATGAGAAAATAAAACGTGAAATGGCAGCATTTTCTCCCCTCCCCTCCTCGTTTCCCCATCACACTCTTCATTTTATTTATTTTTAGTTTCTTGAGAAGGGTTGGAGGTGGTATGCTTGGTTGCTCTTCTTTTCCCTCGGCTCTGAGAGTTTATACATGCCAACTGGACTGTAAGTGACTAAAAGAATCAACTATACATCAGAAAACTTGAGGGCCAAAAGGAACCTTACAGACGGTCTGGTTCAATGACTTTTGAAAAAAAATGTTTCTCCCCCCGAAAACCAGAACTAAGTGAGGTTGGAGAGTAGAAACCAGAATTCTTGCTCTGAGAATGTGATTTGAAAGTCACTCATCTAAATCTAATTTTATCATTATACAGAAGGGTCTCAGGTCTTCTGCCAACTGCACCACACATTTCTAAGTCTGCACAGTTCATTGGGGTTGCATCTTTTCTGAACTTCCAGAGGCTGAGTGACACCCAAATTAAGCAACAGGACATGTTGTGATTAGGCAGTGTTTCTGCCTCCTATGCAGAAGAGATGCCCCAATTTCTCTTTACTGGCAACCCAAGGCTCTTTTCTTTGAGGGGAGGGGGTTGATTCAAATTGGCTCTTATTCCCCAGAATCCAGGAAGAAGCTGAAGGTCAAGGTCAAGAGTCACAAGAAAGAAAAGCCATTGGCCTCTCTGGTTGGCACAAGGGGTTAAGTCGCAGCACTATGAAATTATCCGCAGTTACTGCAGCACCAGTTCCATCCCTGGCCAGGGAGCTGACCACACGGCACAGCAGACCTCTCCCATCTTGCCCACTGCTCCCCTCAGCAGTGTATTTCAGTCGATCCACTTGTTCTGTTCCCCACTCTGTCTCTGGTGAATCCTCTCACCTCCCTCCCCCCACCTCTGGCCTGTACCCCAGTTCTCGTATGCATAAATAAATAAATCTTTAGAAAAAGAAGAGCTGGGGAAATAACTCAATGGTGAATGTTACATTACCCTCATAAAATTAAGATTGGGGCTAGGTTTGAAATCTAGGATTAAATTATATACATTAATGTTAGGATTAAGATTGAGGTTAGAATTTGGATTGGATATTTGGGCTGATACTGGGTGAAAATGAATTCTAATGATGAAAGGTTTTGATCTGAGAGTTGAGTGATTTGTGGGGTAAGGATTAGCATCAGAGTTGGAGGACCACCTGCTTTCTCTCCTGTCTCCACACGTTTCTCTTTTTCAGTTGTGTCCTCCAGGGCTAAAGTCTTTGGCTCCGTATTACCAAGAATGCAGTCCTTGTAATCCTCTGCCCTTGATTCACACATGGCTCTTTCTCATAACACCTCAGTTGCTACTTCAAGTGCTCTGGCTGTTGAAGCATTAATAATATTCTTTATTAGACCCTATAGAGTACATTGATGGCACCTTTCAGACCAATGGTGATGGCAAACTACCCTCAAGAGTCACGTTACAGATTCATCTGGAGCATAATCCATACTAGAAAATAGTCAAGACAATTACGACAAAAGCTCTTCTGCCAATTACCCTATGTTTTGATCCCCTAATTTGATGATGCCCTGAAGTTTTATGTTCTCTCTGAGCTTTTGTCCAACTAAGTGGGCATGTTACAGATATATTGGTTCGAGGGCTCTTCAGATAGAAACCTTGACTGCTAGGAGTAAAGAGTTAGCTGACTAGGAACAGCATAAGTTGAAGCAGATGAACGCTGGGTGTAATTTCATACAACTATACTGTCAAAAAAGCTTTCAATGAGTTTCAGTGTCTTCTAAGGAAGTTGGGTGATGATGGAGACATTCTCCAAGGACAGTCTGATTAGGGTGCCAATTCACATATGAGTCGCAAATTGATTAACAAATTATTGTACCATTTAATTCATTTAACAAATATTTATTGAAGAATATTTTAGTTCATTCCAAAAATATTATGTGTCCTGGACAGTATGTATGCAGCAGAGAAAAAAACAGCCATGATCTTTGGAGAGGGCACACACAAACAAATATTTAATTATAAATTATGATAGGTGACCTAAAGGAAAAGGGTGCTTAGAAGATTAAAAACAGTGTAACATAACCTTAATTGGGACTGGGGGGCGCCAATGAAGACTTGAGGGAGTGCATTTAAATTCATGCCTGAACTAAAGCTTAACTAAAGTTTAGTTTGTTGAAAATTCTTGAACACATCTATTCTTTATTCTTTGAATTTCAGGCTGTAATTTATTCGTCTTTTACTTTGTGGTAGCAGCTTTTGGAATCTTTGCTAAGAACATAACTGACCTGTTTTGAGAACTATAGGTTATGAGGATGGGGTAGCCATATTTGCATTACAAAATAAAGAGCCTTGACTGTACCCCGATCCACTGGCCAAAGACAACCATACCAAGAAAAAAGCCATCTGATAAAAGACCAATCAGGTGCTCTTCTCTGGAATTCATAGCTACCAATTCTGCTGGTTCTTGAAGTGAGGATAGGTAAGCTTGGGCAGTCATGTACTATGTTGCCTAGGAAGTAGTGAAAAGTGTGCAAAGAAGAATGAAGCAGTTCTGTAGAGGTGAAAGAATATGTGACTGGAGAGAAAAAAAGAGAAAATGAGGGAATAGTTACTTGGCTTCCTGTTGGTATTTTACATCCTCGTTTCAGTTCTTCATGGGATCTTGTCGCTCTCTGTTCTCTTGGGTTCTTAAGATTACTTATGTACTTTTTGCATGAAGAAGTTTAGTGGATTTCTGTTACTTGCAGACAAGAGCCTTGACAAAGAGAGGATTTTATCAGATTAGCTCCTCTGTTCAGCAAACATGGATTGAGTTTGCTTTGATCCCACAGAGATTTGTGGATCCCACAAGTTCAGAGAGAATGCACAAACAGAATGGTATATATAGAAATAAAATAATAACATTTGGTAATAAAATTAATCTAGGTAATACCCTGGGAGACTTTCATATCTCCATTGGATTGGGGGTACATAGCAGTTATTTCTAGCAGCCAGTCCTTACGGAGCTATAATCTGTGAGTAGAGACAAACATGTATATTTCTTGGTCCTATAATGGAGATGTAAGAGGAAGGAGGGACCAATTCTGCCTTGGCAGAGTTTAGAAGGCATGGAAGAGGTTTGCTCCTGAAGGAGTAATACTAGTGTGCTGGGCAAGAGAAAGGAAGGGCAGTTGGGGTAGAGGGAAACAGCAGGTGCAAGGCATGGAGGTGTGAAAAAGCAAAGCGCATTTAAGGAATGATGACTAACTAGTGTGAGGGGCAGGAGCATAGTAAAGTGTAAGAGATGAATGAAATCTGAGAGGAAATTTAAAGCCAAATTATATAACCTCATTATGCATATTGAGTTTGAATCTGCTCGTTTGTTACATTTTATCAATCCTGGTCTCCTTGTACATACTGGGGACTCAATAAATGTCTCTTAAATTGAAAAATTGGCAAAACAGGTAGATAAGCAATTTGTAAGATGACAGTCACTTTTTGTATTTAAATTTCCTTTTGGTTTTAGGGTTTCTTTTTACATATATATAAAGAAAACCACTGAGATGCCAACTGAGCGTTCTTCTTAATCTCAGTTTGTTAAACTCATGAATGTGGCAGTGCCAGTTTAAGATTTAAGGGTGATATAAGTCTAGTGAGACCTTGGTGTGTTATATGGCTTCATCCATTCCATGGTATTTTGACAGAAATACTATGAAAACCCACAAAGTTTAAATCAAATATTACACAAAATAATTAAGCACTCACAGTTGGAGATGCTTTGGCTTTAAGTGGCTTGATTTTTGCAATTATCATCTTCAACATCAATAGCATCTTTAGGAGGATGCTAAGCTGAATGTTATTTGGTCTTTTGAAGTTTAGAGGCCAAAAGAAACAATATCAACTTTAACAAACCCACAGAGGATAAACAAACAGATGGTTCATATAGAAATAAAATAACATTTGGTGATAAAATTAATCTAGACAATGTCCTGTGAGGCTCCCGTATCCCCTCCTGATGCGGTTTAACAGCAACCATTTGTGAGTCAGGAAACCTTTCTGGCAGCAGCAGGACTTAGAAGTTTGCCCTTCAAGTAGCTGTGGATTCAGCTTTCCAGGCGTTCCGGTGGCCTGTGATGAAATTAGTCATCAACAATAGCCTTCTGCTCACGATTGGCTGGAGCTCAGAATGAGTTCAGGATCAAGGACAAGGGGCGCTAAAGGACTTTTTTTTGTGGATAGACGTTCTCTGGTCACTTACCAAGAGGCACCCAGTTCCCCGCCCAAAACCAAACCTGTCCATTCCAGGAAAAGAGGTTCCCCTACCCTCGGCATAGGGAGTAGCAGACTTGTGGCTCTCAGAGCATCTTTGGGGAAATGTGACCCAAAGCCTCCTCTTTCGTTCTTGTCTCTCCCTCTTACCACCCCTTCTTGGAACATTTTCCAGAAATTCATTACTGCCAAGAGGAGACCAATTCTCTGGGGGGGGGGGACTTGAGGAGTGGGTCGAATGTTGGGGGGGAGGCTGGGAAGAAAGAACGATTCCCAGCGGCGTGGCAGTTTGTGGAGAAGCGATCCCTGTCACGGCCAGGACAGAGCCCGAGTTCCGGGTCCTCTCACCGCAGAAGACACCAGCAGCGCCGGGAAGGCCGAGACCCACTTCCGGGTTTGGAAGCGCTTTCCTGGCCCCACCCCTTACCGGGTTACGAGGTCTCGGGCGCATGCGCAGCTCTCTGCTGCCGCTCTGGGACTGGCCCAACTTACCCTAAACAACTAAGCTGCTCCTCCCCCTCCCGCTTGGGGCGTACCAACGCGTTTAAGGGGGGGAGGGATAGCTCCTCAGAGACCTCAGAAGCCTCTCCCCTCCTTTGGTTGGGGCGAAGGTAAATTTGCCTCAGAGTTTAAAAGTTTCAAGACGAAAAACGCTCCAGAAGGACGTCTCCGACAGCCCGACGTTCTCGCCTCTGCCCACACCCCCCGTACTGTTCCTTTGAGGCGCTGAACAAAGTGGCACGCCCGGAGCCCAGCTGATCAGCTGCTGGGCTTTGGCGGAGGCTCCCCCGGGCGAGACCATTGTGACTCCTCCGAAGGGGTGCGTCAGGAGGGGAGGGGGCGGAGCGGCCATTGTCCGGTCAGCGCAGCCTCCGGGGGAGGGGAGCGTGTCACGGAGGGAGCGCGGCCCGGGCTTCACAGCAGCCGCTGCTTCGCCGGAGCCGGCGGGGGCCTCAGGTCCTTCCCAGCGCCGCCGCACGGGACATCGCTCTGGCTGGGAGCGGCGGTGGGAGCTGCCGAGGGCGCCGGGTCTTCCCTCCCCGCGGTCCTCGGTTCACCCGCTCGCCCCTCCTCCTCGGCTTCCCTCCCTCTCCGCCCCGCGCCTCCCCCGGCCTCCCCCCCGTCTCCGCAGGCTGGGTGGTGCGGCCCGCCTCCAGCTGACCGGCCTGGAATCCCGGCTCGGAGCCCCGGACTCGCGCCCGCCCGCGCGCCCGCTCCCTCCCCCTCCCCCCGCCCCGAGCCCCCGGGACGCCGCCGCCGCCGCCGCCGCCTCCTCCGAGCGGGGCCCAGGCCCAGCCGCCGCCACCGCTGCCGCCGCCGCCGCCGAGCGCCGCCGCCGCCGAGCACCATGGGAGACGCCGGGAGCGAGCGCAGCAAAGCGCCCAGCCTGCCGCCTCGCTGTCCCTGCGGCTTCTGGGGGTGAGTGTCCGGCGGGTGGGGGCGAGGGTGGGGGCGCGGGCGCCGGGGCTGGCGGGGCCGGCCGCCGGGCCCGGGAGGCCGGAACCCGGGGGGCTGGGCCCCGGCCGGGCCTACGGGGAGGGGGCCGGGGCCGCGTCCGGGGAGGGGCTCGGGCGGGGACTGGGGTGGGCCGGCGAGGCCCTGCCTGGCGGTGCTGCCACCCTCCGGGGCTCGCCCGCCCGAGGCTCGGGCCGACCGGGTCCGCCCAGGCCGCTGGGGAGGGGGCAGGGCGGCGAGGAGGGATGAGGGGGCGGCCTGGGCACCTCCGGGTGGAGCCGGGGTGCCCCCTTGGGCCGGCGAGGCCAGCCCTCCCGCCCCGCCCCATCGGCCCCCGGGCCTGAGTTGATGCCCAGGCGTCGGGAGGGTATTTCCTCTGACTTTTTCACCTCCCCTCCTCCCTGTCCCCGGAGACTTGCATCATCACTTCCTAAATTATATCCCAGTGCCCCATTTGATTTTAGGAAGCTGTCCACACGTCACCCGTTTTCGAAAATCGAGCCCAGAACCCGGACTGCGCTAAAGTTATAGGGGCTGTTGAGGGTCTCACCTTTATTTAAAACATGCTTTAGAGGAGCTGTAAAATTTCCTTGTCAAAAAAACTCCAGCCAGTCTGACCTGGGAACGTGGAGCAAATTTGCTTGGCTCAAATTCCCTTCCTCGTTGTTGTTGTTGTTTTTTTTTTTAAAATGATAAAAATAATCACATTGGCCAGCCTATATTATTACTTGGCCATCCTGTGTTAGAGTGTAAATATATGAGGTGGGAAGTCAACTTTCCCACCTGTAGTTACAGTTAAATTCTCCTTGTAACACTTTGAGTTTCATGGATTGCCATCCCTCTTACCTAACAGGTGTTGTCGTATGACTGTATATTGCAAGGGAACTGGGGGCTTTGAATGCCAACTTTTCTGATTGAGCCTTTTCTTTTTCTTTTCTAAAGATAGTAAGAGGCAGTAAGGAAATGATTATTTCTAGTGAGCCCATCTTGAGAAGAAGTATTGAAGTATTTTATCTTTGTTATTTCCCAGATCCTATTATGGTTAGTGTAGAAACTCAGTCTATGGTTTTGGGAGTTTAGAAGATCAGAAAGTGCACTTTTAATGTCCATTTCTGTGGAATTTGTCAAATCCTAAGGTTATGATGAAGACCTTGATTGTCATTTTCTCAACCTTCTGACTTTTCCTCAGAAATTCTTTGGTGGAAGGACATTAGTTAAACATCAGTTACAGCATTACCAAAAGTTCTGAAGATGTGAAATATTTTTAGGTTTTAGAGTTTTCTGTGTGGTTTGAAAATAATAACCGGGTTGTCAGCTGAGTGCTTACATGGACAACCTAATTCCCACAAGAATCTTTTGGGGTAGGAATCTTTATCTCTTTAAAGAAGTGGAAACTGAGGCTTAGTGAAGTGGGTAACGCACCCTGCATACAGTTTAGGGTGGAGCTAGTGAGCTCTTTAGAGTGCTTAGTCCCATCACATCTGTGACATTAGTCTGCTGCCCTGGAAAAGTCTGGTGTTAACCTCAGATTGTTATTCACTGTAAGAAGAATGTGGCTCAAAGAAAAGTAGCTGCTGTTGGCATCTAATGCCCAGGATGGATTAGAGGTTTGTGTCTTGGCAACATGTTTAGGTCCTTGGCATAACCATTATCTTGAGTGGCACTCTTATTGAAAGACTTTTATCAAGACTTAGGAACTAAGGAAATGGAGTAATAGCCTTTTACAGTTAGAGCACAGAATTCTCAGTGATGCCAAGAGAGTTTGGTGGTAGCAGAAGGAGTAGTTACACTGATGTCATACTTGACCAAAACAACCAGGGCTGCTTTTTTGATACTTCCAGTCTGGTGCTTTTTATAACTGCAATTTCGCCTACAGAAGAATTGAGTAAAATGGTAACAGTTTTGTGGCGAAAAGTATTCTTTTAAATGTGTAATGTTTTAACCTTCCTAAAGGTGTTTGTAGGCTTGTGTAGTTTGCATTTTGTACAGATGTTTAATGACTGCTTACTTTCCATTGTGTAACTGACTTTGAACATGTTTTCCTCATTGCACCAGCTATATCCAGATTGTTAAGTAACAAATATTTGAGTGCCTCTGCTATATTGGTGGACAAGGGGATGCTGGGAATAGGAGACATAGGGAAGTAAAGTGACCCTTCCTATGACGTGTTCTAGGGTTGGTAGAGGGTTTAATGGAAGGGGTACCTATTCAAGGTAGCCTGGAGGAAGTCACATCAGAGAGAATGGAAATGGGTCCAAGGAAGGGAGCCTTTCAGGCAGAGGGAATAGCAAAGGTGAAGGCTTCCATGAGAGAGTGTGAGAGTGAGCACTACACACTTGAGCAACTGAAAGTTCCTTGGGGTCAGTTGCTAGATTGTAAAAGGGCATCATCAGCTAGAGATGAGGCTGAGTTTGTGAGAGCAGTTGATGGTGCAGGGCCCCATTGGTAATGGTGAGGACTTTGGACTTTTGTAACTGAGTGCTTTTGAAGAACTTTGAGCAGATACTAACTTGATTTTATTTGAAAGACTATTGGGTAATTTTGAAAGTGGCCTGGGTGTGGATATGATGGTGTGTGTCTATGTGAATGTAGTGTCTGTATTTTTTGTGGGGTGTTGCCCAGTTCTAGAGCTACAGAAGACTTTTCAGGAAAATCCAGGCCAGCAATGATGTGAATGCCACTAGGAGGTATCTTTTGCCTTGTCTCATAAAAAAAGTGTGTGTGTTCTTTAAAAGCTGCTGTCAGCCTTGCACTCTGTGGAAGCTCTAGGTCTGTAAAGTCAACTACACAGGGCCTATACTGCCCTTTGCAGAGGAGTATCAGCAAAGTATTCTGGCACCAGAAGACTATATGCAGTTTCTTCAGGATTGCTCTTCTCTCCAGTGACTTAAGCTGCAGGACTTGTTGCCCACGATTGTCCAGTTAGGGTACCAATCAGGGGGTTTGGTTAAGTAGGAGAGCTTTGAGGTCTTTCTTGGGGGAACACAATTGGAATGGAGAATGCCAAGGTGAGCATACAATGCAAATGTGTGAATGCTTAGAACACATCAAATTTCTCATTCTCTCTTCTTGGTTTATGTTAAGTAATTATGTGGCGGTAATTTAGTTAACATGTTATTGAGATATGTGGAGGTAATTAAGTTTTCATGTCATTGAGAGACCACCATCACTCCACTGGGAAACTTTTGTACTTGAAATTATTGAAAATTTACCTACTTAAAAAGATTTGGAATTGTTTGTATAGGCCAGTGTTTTTAGGACTGATAATCTTAAGGAGTTTGTTTCTGAGATAGGGACTTAAATATTTTAGTGAAATAGGAACATTTTCTTGACTCATTTTAGTTACTCAGTAATCATTCAGATACAGTGCTAGTTTATAATTGTCAGATCGGAAAGTTAATTGATACATTTTCTTTAGTTGAAATAGATGTATATACAGGAGCACTTTTAGACCATACAGATATAAGTGATATTAGTTAAAGCGAGATTTAAAGTTGTTTAGAGATTTAAAATGTACGGAGGAAAAGATTCTACACAAATTTTTTTTTTTTAAAAAGATTTATTTATTTATTTATTTATTCATTCAATCATTTATTTATTTATTTATACAAGCACTGGGTACAGTCAGAAGCGCGGGAGGGTGAGAGAATTCACCAGAGCCAGAGTGGGGAGCAGAGCAGGCAGAAGGACTGAAGTACACTGCTGAGGGGAGCAACTGGCGGCAGGAGAGGTCTGTGCGCCATGTGGGACCCTCCTCCAGTGGCCATGGAGCAGCTGGGGATCGAACCGGCGCTGCAGAGGCTGCGGGCAGCTTCGCAACCCAGCGCTCAACCGCTGCGCCAACGGGGAGGCCCTACACAAATGTTTTTGAACCCACAGCTATGGGATCGAGTCTCATGCTCTACTAAGCTACCTAGTCAGGCAATGACAGAGGTACAAATATTTTCTAAATCTACAATATTATACAGAAGACAGGAAGAAGAAACTAAAAATGTGCTGAGTATGTTATGGGATCATAGAAAGGATAATTAGGATGATGGTGGGCTTCTTTTTCCAATTCTACTTATTAAATATAAAAATTCAATTACTATTACTATTTTGCTTTCACAATTGGAGATAATCTATTGCAATGAATTTTATAGAATCTTTGGGAAGTACCATTTCTTTCATAATGAAGTTTAAAGTGTAGTAGACATAAATGTTTAGTCTGGTATTTAGGGAGTAATGGAATAGTTAAATGTGGACTTTATTAGGTAAATTATTATTTTGATTAAAAAAGTCAGTTTTTTCTAATGAGTAACAAAGAAAATGGGTACGTTTTCTCTAGGGAGATATAGTTTATTAGTATTTCTTTTTTTTTTTTTTTTGGTGATCTGTTGAAGCATTTTACTTAGCAAGTAGATTTGCTGGTTTATAGATATATTTTAGCTAAAGATGGAGTTAGGCAGTTAGAGTAGTAGTCTCACAAAGTATATTCCATTACTGGAATGACAACCTATGGAAAGTTGATTGAACATACAATGTGGTTTAATTTTATTCCATTTTGCTGTTGGTAATCACAAGATACTGACTAGTGAGCTTAAATAGAATGTCTCTCTTTCTTCTCCCCACTGAGTCCAGGTTTTGTGAATTTGTAGAAGTCTGTTTCTGTTACTTTGAGTCCTTTGGCTAGTGTGCTTGGCTCCTTGGCTTGGGTGACCTCACACTGGTTTTGAATCTTCAGTCTCATCCCTACAATTGGAGCATATTGCCACACTTCAACCAGCTTGGGCTTTCAAGTTCTTGTGAACACAACATGTATCTCTAGAACATCAGTAGAATGTTCATTCCAGTGATGTCACTAATTATCCCTTATTATAAAACCTCTTTAAACATTCCCTTAAAAACAAACAGCTTGTTTGTGCAGTTTTACTGTGCATCTTTGAATATTGTGTGCATCTAAAGATACCACATGATTTAAATGAAGTGTTCACTGTCAGTGAGTTTATCTGCTTGCCCCATTTTCATGATTACATTTGGTATATTCAGAAAACATAAAATTTGACCCTTTGATGTGATGGGACACAGGGAAATAAATTTTAAAAATGGTCTTTGTTTATTTTGGTTTAAGATAATTGCTTTTATGAGTTAGAAGTTAACATGAGATTTTCGGTATTATCGTCTCCCTTTTAAGAGGATGAGAAATAATATAGTTTGGATTTTTTATCATGTTATAAGGAGGTTGAGTCTGCAAAGTGATGCAGATTTTGAAATCCTGCAACAATCATAGATCAAGATTGAGGTTAAGCATTATTTTTCCTCTTTGAAGAAAGGATCTGACAAAGCCACATGTAGTAAGTGACTCAACACTTGTAAAATTTTAATGAAATATTTAAGAAATATTACAGATTTTAACTTTTTGGATGTTGTGAGACTTTTTTGTCACAGTGGTTTGCAAAAGAGGGCCTTTCATTCCAGCTGGGTGGATGATGCCATTGATGTCACTCATTTTACTAGGGGCTTTGAGAAACAGGCTGATCCTGTTCTGGGCTGGGTCCCTATACAACAAGATTGTGCTGCTGAATGAGATATTTAGACATAAGGAAGAAATTTCCTATATGTATTAAATGCAGAACAGAGGTTAAGCAACTTTATTTCAAATGTTTAGTAACCAGAATCTAAGACCAAATTCTAGAATTATGTTATTCATTTTGGTAACCACTAGTTACATATAATGATTGAAATTCATGGTAATTAACACTAAGTAAAATTAAAAATTCAGTTCTCCAGTCATTCTAATCACATTTTAAATATTCACCACCTTAATGGGTAGTAGCCACACAATTGGGGAGCACCGATAAAGAACACTTCATCCTCCCAGAAAGTTCTTTCAAATAAATAGTGCCATTTCAGAATGTTGACTTGATAGGTAGCCAGCATTTTCAAGCCTGTTTTCTCCCTCCCCCCAGTTTTATTGAGATATAATTGACACTTAAGCCTATTTTCTGTGAGTTCTCCAGATCCCTGGTTTCTCATATTCTGAAAATGAGGGGCTTGTTTAATTTAGCTCTAAGTTTCTTTCCAGCTTTAGCAAATTTAATCCGTTGGGGAAAGTAATGCTATTGTTAGTTCACATTACCGGGAAGTACTCCTTTGATCAGTTTGGGGAATTAAAATTTCAGTACGAATTAGACTATAATTTGAACATTTTTTCTCCTGTTGGCTTTTGAGTCAGTCATTGCTCTTAGCACTGTGTCAGTGGTTTGTATAGAGAGGTGTTGGACCAGAAGATTTTTTTCTCTTTAGTGAGAGAATTACTTTTAAGGTATTCACCTTTTGTAGAGGAATAATATTTGTTTTCACAAATGTTAATCTCATGAAAGTTCTTGGTATATGATTAGGGATTAGTGCACTGGATTTTGTAGTAATTTCAAGTTTCTATATACATAAGGCTATATTGGAAATATAATAGCAGTGGGAAAAACCAAAGTAATCTGCGATAATACTAGGTTGAGGGAATGGCTCAAAATAAGTGAAAAGGACTTGTCATCTTTGAGGGTGGGGAACAGAGCTGCAAACAGTGCTGGACATCTGGAATTGTGACTGTAACTGTTAACCAGAGGCAGGACAAATGCGGTAAGGAGGAGGATGCAGAACTAGCTAACTGCATCTATTCATCAGTACCAAATGTCCTGTATCATAGGCAGGTGTAATTTTGTGTTAGGGCAAAAGAATACCCTGGGGGAGGTTATTGGTGTAGTGTGTTGCTGCTCTGGCTTGCGGGTGTGGAGAAGGGGAGAACTTAGACCATATCAGCATTTTGTGTTTCCAGTTTGTGAACAGTCTCTGTTTAGCCTCATTGTTGTCTCATTAGTGACCTGGCAAAGAGTTAGGTGGTGATATACTTGGGACATTCTGAAAGAAGTGATTTTTCTCATTTCTGCTAAAGTAGTGTATTGTGGAGTAACAGTTGTTGATGTCTTATCTATTTCTTGGATTCTTACACATTGGCAAGTTGGTGTGCACTTATATAAAATAACCATACTTTCAGCTACACTTCCTGGAAGGAGAAATTTTCTGGCTACTAACAAGTATCACAAATAACTCATTTTGAAGTCAGGTTTTGATTTTCTCTGACATGCTTGCATTTCATAACACAGTATGAGGAAGCCACTGTAGTTTATGGTTACTGGAATGAGTAGGGGCAGGAATTTGGGGAACACAGTTTGGTTGGAGGACTTAGCTGATCATGTCTGTGCTTTCAGATTATCTGCCTATTTCATATCATTTTTCAATTTTCAGCCCTTTCTAGGATATGGATAGCTGTGTTGGCAAAGTTATCTCCTGAAATAATTTTTTTTTTGGGGGGACAGAGGGACTTAATGAATGAGTTATGAACTAGACTGAATAATACAGTCATTCTTAAACTGACCAGAAGCATATTAATTAACCAGCAAGAAATAAAAAAAAAAATAAACTGGAGGGTGGGAGAAGGTGTGGTTTATTTCATGTGAGTTGTTCTGGACATTTATGATTACTTGGTTTTTGTGCCTGGGGAAGCATGAATGGTGTTCTTCATTTTCTTTAGATGCTACTGAAATCCAGAAAACCAGGTTTTTCAAGTCTTTGTTGTGTTTGCACATGAAACTTTGCATGTATTTGCAAAGTTTTGACTTTATACATTTTATCTAGTTTGCCTTTCCCTTTTAATATAATACAAAAGTGTGCTACTCACCTTTAAAAATAAAGGAGTGTTCTTGGACACTGACTCACAAAAATGTTTGCTTAGGGGAACTTACGTTTTTTTCTTTTCTTGATTGGTGGGACTTGCTGATGTAAACTCTGAACTGTATTCCCCGTTTCTCTGCGTAGGTCACCATTAAATAGCTCTCCCTGTCATCTATTTCTTACTTCTCCTTCCACCCCATTCTGTAGCCACCTCTAAGATGTATTTAAAATATGCATCTTATTTGTTAACAGCTGATCATTTTCCTTATATATTGGGCAAGATTTAATTAAGGAACAGTTGTCTCACTTTATTGACGCCCAGTTTTGAGTGAAAACACATTGGATAGTCTCTTTAGGGATTTATGATTTCAATAATATCAATATGGATTGAGAAAATAGTCACAGGAAAACCTGTTTTATGGATA